TCATAGTTACAGTGGAATTAAATGCATTAAATAAATGAAGAAAGAATGCCAGTATGAACATAAAGTATGACCTACGATGAAATGACTAGATAGTCAGAAATGGCGTATATCAGTATTAGTAGTCAAGAGGCCGTACACCTTTACAGCTAACACAAATGGAAAAACGGACAGTGAACAAACAAGAGATGTAAATAAAAGGAGTCTGGAAAAAATAAAGGGCGCAGCTGCCACGTTTCTTGAGTGGAGTTATGTCAGTTGTAGTGTAAAACTAAGATGTCAAAATGGTTTGATGCTGCGGATACACGCAGATCGTGCAAATAATACAGTCATATATGTTAATTTTAGAATTAAATAAAAGCATTCAACGTAGATACCACGGTTGAACAGTGACATCCGCTCAACGGTCCCTGGTGACAGGTCAGAAAGAAGATAAGTAGAAACAAGGTGATGACGCAAAGAGTGAACGCAGCGACGAAAACGGTGTATTCTTCCCCTTCGAGCAGGTATCGATGTCCGTAGTCAGACTGCTTCAGTGTCTCCCACAGTAGCAGGCCCAGAACGATCGACGAAAATACCTGAAAATCAGCCGCTGGTCAGTGGCGAAACTTCGAGAGGTGTAAACAAGACGCTGCCTCACCATCTGCAACCATTTCAGAAGCCCCTGAACGGAAGCGTAGCAATAGTTGAAGCGAAGCTCCATTTCACCCATCACTGTTCGACTCTTCAACGCAACAACGGTCTACGGTGGTCAGCTCGATGAGGGTCACGAGGAGGAATCGACCGTCAACGCGCAGCTTTGGCGTAAACTAAAACGCGATCTCTGATCGGCAGGCAAGCAGCTGTTATTGGCAGCTGAACGAACACTAAGGCACAACCGGTTCTGTTTGCTTCGTTCGTATCGACCGTAATCGCGCGCTACGCGGCACATGCGCTTGACAGGGGCCGGCGGCCGGTGCAAAGGAACCTGCGCATCAGCCTGCCTGTTATCATCTTTGAAGTAGCCAAACAAGCCAAATGGACAGGAAGCGAGAGAGACACCTCAGCGTATGAATGATTCACTTGCTGAGTAAGGAAGTGAACATGAAGATGGGATGGGCCAGTAGACAAAGATTCTGACAGATATATAAAAAATGACTAATGGTTAAACATCCAACGATGAAATCGAGTGGGTGACTCATGACATCGGAAAGTTCGGAACTGTGTAAACAATGACCAGCCATCGACTCCGCTTTCTGAATAGTACCTTCTGATTCCAAAATCCCAGTTTTTCCTTGCCGTGTAACTGTTGAACGTGAGCAGCAGCGATCCATCAAAACTAACATATCTTTGGTCATTGACTAGACGTAGGTGGAATATTAGGAAAAGGCCTCTATCATAGGGCTTACTTTCTCTTTCCTTGAAGAACGGAAAGGCTACGGTTCAGAAGTCAATAGAATGGCAGAAGTTTGTTTTTTTTCAGATACAACTCCCATTTCATTAGTGGAACCATGCTAACAAAGGATATGGAGTTAATCATTTATAAATAGAGGAAAATCTAAGTTTAATGAGGGTGATGTAGAATCTATGGTTCTGGTTATCCTGTTATATAAAGACATTAACGCCAGCGTACCATTCGAGTCTGTAACCCTACAATCAACAACTCCCTTATTTAAGGAAAAGATAGTGAATCGGATAAGCTTTCGAAATATCAATTTAAGGATTCCGCATTCATTTAAAATCCACATTTAATAAATATTTTTAAGGCGATATCCTGGATTCAGTATGCAAACATTTTTTAATCTACAGCTATGTCTGTCTGTTGTTACCGAGTTTTGTCCGAGGCAAGTGCATAAGCCTCTTTCCTGAAAAACAAACCGAACCGTTTGTAACGCACACTAGCTTGACTTTTTTCTTTGAGCCTTTCAGATCCATGCCTCGCTCTTTTGCATGTTTAAACAGTGGTCGTCGAATGTGGGCAAAAACTTGCGCTAACTACGTCTAATGAAGAAATGCAAGGAAAAGAAACTGGTCGAGTCATTTTTAATCACACAGCCTGGCATAATGATCTGGCTTAACTGGAAAATCTGCTAGGCACAATCGATAGCCTTCAGCGTTGCTCCACAACGTTTCTACATCTGCTGATGAGTCAGTGTTGTTTGCATGGAATCTGTTTAACCGTTTAAACTGAGGCGATGGCATCGACATCGATGGGGAACTGCCCATACCACTGCACTTCGCAGAAGATGTCATCATGTTCGCCAAAGAACTGGTGGAACTCCAAACGGAGATTTTGCAGTTGCACGAAAAGTCACGCGCCATCGCTACGGAGATGAA